TATTGCCACACACAGCCCCTGCTGTCACAGGCCCAGCTCCACCAACAGCTCATCAGCATGCTGCTGCTCGTGCCTGCACAGAGATGTTTCATTCTCCTGAACTTGTTCCCGTTCTGTGGGTCGCTTTCACAGCAGGAGCAAGCTAATAGGAAGAGGGAGAGGGTCATGAGTGAAACAGCACCAGAACTGCCAAAACCAGAGAAGAAACGGCCAAAAGCCTCCCAGCAACCAGAGGAGCTGGAAGCACCGAAGCAGTTTACCCCCTTTGATTACAGCAAGTTCAACTTCAAAGTGTTTGCGGGTAAGATCTGCATCTCGGCTGGAGTGCTGCAGGCTGTGGAAAACCTTGCCAGCTGAGGCCTGAGAAGGCTGTGTGAATCTGGGTGCCAAGGCAGTACAAATGGTTAAAATGCACTCACACTGCAGTGAGGAAACATTAAAAGAAATTTACCTAGGGAAGGGGTAGTGTAGCATCCTTTTTCTGGCTTGGAAACAAAACTTGGAAACAGGTGAGGGGATTGTGGATTCATGGTTTGCTTCTCTTCTCAGCAGTGAAAGTCATTTGTTTAATTGGGCCCAAGAAAGTAGGAGTTACAGGAGACATAGCTTCTCATAATGTGTCTATTCAGAAGCTTCTTTTGCCCTGCAGTGGCTGTTCTGTTTTTTTTTTAGCTTGGGAGACTGCAGTGAAACCTCTTCATCAGAGAAACACGAGGAAGAGTACTGTTCTTTCTAGCAATCTTCAGTGACAACTTCTCTCCTCTTTCCCATAGGAAGCAGCAAATCGAAGCAGTCAGCACAGTTTGATCCCGCCAGACAAGTTCACACAGGCAAGGTACAGACATGTCGTGAAAGAAGTAACAGAACTCTTGGTGATCGTGTGTACCCAGCTGGGAATTGCTGGGAGAGGTTTTTTTTATTGTTGGAAAAGCAGACTCTTCCAGGATCTGCAAAATATTCCCTTGCAGCACTTGGTGCTGACATGCAGCTTCCAGTCACAAACTCGTGCCTTGCATCACGGCCTCGTCTTGCTCAGGAAGAGCTTTCCTGGGGCTTTCATGCTCTCCCGTTGTTTCTCACCTGGTTGTACTTGGTTCAAGCTGCACCACCTGCACAGCAGGCACACTGCTTCGGCTACGTCAAATTGCAGTTCTAAATTCAAGGCACCCTCCAGAATCTCAAAGTCCCTCCAGTTGTGGCCTCGGCACATCCAGGTGTTGCCTGCATTCTCCACTCAAGGAAGAAATTTTTTCCTGATTTAATTTATTGCTAATTAACTTAAACTTCTCATCACTGACTGGGAGAATGAAGGGAACTGTGACCAGCACAGGAGAGTTTGTGTCTGTGCGCTGAACAGATCGCTCTGGCAGAGCTGGCTTGTTAAGTGCAGTGCTCACGTATGGAGCATTTGAGACGTGACGTCAGTGGCCATTCAAGCATGAAGTAATAGATGCTCATTTGTGAATTCATTGGGTGCCCAGGCACCAATTAATTTCCAAAGCTCATTTCTTGCTTTTCAGCCTCTTTCCTGTACATGCTGCTTTCTTGTGTGTTCAGCTGAAGGGCAAATGATTCCAGGAAGCCTCTTAGGTACTCATTTAAAATCATATATCAGGAGCAGAACAGGTTTATGCCTGATGGTCTGTGAATAGTTTCCAGCACGATTTGCTGTGTCACTGTAAACTTTTCTCAAAAGAAAAAAAGCCAGCAAAACAATTTGCCAGTGAATGTAGGAGAGCAAGGTTTTAGACCTTTAGGACTTCTGTCTAGGTGGGCACATGGGACATTGGTGGCAAGACCAGCAGAACAGCATGTATTCAAGTGGATTCAGTGCACATGCATGTACAGTAGTGGCAAAACAAAGCCCAGAGTGTAAGCAGTGCTCCTTGAGGTAGGAGGGTCCGTCAGGATGTGCACCACGTGGAACAGACTGCATTTGTCCGCTCCTCACTGTGCTGTTTTTTCTCTTCCACACAGAAATTTGCTGGAGCCAACAAACTTCAACAACCGGCTGGAAACCGAAGCATGTCCTACCTGGCAGGGAAAGCTGATAGGTGTGTTGTTGTCAGCCTGCTCTCATCGTGGGGCAGTGTTTGCACTCCTGTGCCACGGGCTGAGCGCAGCTATTGTGCTCCGCTGCTGGGGGAGCTTAAGCACGTTTAATGGGAAGCAGTTGCATAACATCTACTCATGTTCATTTGGCAGCTTGACATCAGTTTACGGGGGGGGGCCGGGGGGGGGGTGAAAAAAAAAAAAAAAATTATGGAGGAAAAAAAAAAAAGAAAAAAAATGGGGTGTTG